CTGGGCGATGAACAAGTCGTCGGTGACCTGGTAAGTTGACTCGATGAAATGCCACGCCCGGTGGCCGGCGTCGAGGTACTCCCTGCACGACTTCAGGGCGATCTGTACGCCAGGCGAGCAGCACTGCGAGATGACCGTGAAGGTCAGCAAGTCGGGGTAGTGCTCCTCCGGCGTCGCCACGGTCCCGCGGGCGAAGCCCATCAGCCCGGCCATCTCCAGCTGATGCTCGATGGCTTCCTTCCACGTGAGGATGTCGGGACGACCGACCAGCGGAGGGGTGACCGAGATCCTGTCCGGCGTAAACTTGAAGTAGCCGTAGCTCGGCGCAATTCCTCCCGCGGTCACGTGCGTTGCCGACATCGGCTCCGATTCACTTTGTCTGCCTCCAACGTAGCCCTGCGAGGCCCCTGCAGCCGCGGACGACTGCATCCCTCGCGCCTGAATGCCGCCGACTTCATCGGCGTGAATCACACCTCGCTGCCTCGAAGTGCCTCCCGCGCTGCTGCCGACTTGGCCACCACCCACGTTGATGTCCACGTCGACGCTGCCCGCGTTGTTCACCGGTCGAGGAGACGCAGGCCGAGAGGGAGGGTGCTCCGCCGCCCACAAGGCGCGGATGCCAGCCTCGACGACCGTCAGCGGGAGAGTTCCGTACTCGTTCGCCGCATGACGTCTCCTTGCGACCTCCAGCCGTGCTTCCAAGGTGTCCACGACGCCCGCCACAACTACGGGGTCCACCATGGCGTCCAACACAGCCGCCGGCCTACGCACAAGCTAGGTGAATTCAAAGTCGACTAACTCGAAGGTGACTTCGCGGTGTCGTCCACGCTCACCGCACCATGCGGAGATAACTAGTGCAACGGGAGCTAGACTACAGGCTAGGCACGGGGCAAGAGTGATCGTAGCGTTGGTTCGTTCCTTAGTCGTTTCCAAGTGCTAACACTGCTTGCTAGTTCACGGGGAAAATTGGCAAGAGTTCCACTAGGAAAACTTGACAACAGAAGTTCATAATGATTGAATCAACATTGGCAACACAGACTACATCAGACCTAGAAAGGCTGCTGGTCGACTGCCAGCGCAGCACGGTCGACCGCGTGCCAGCACGACTTGGTCGACCGCGCTCCAGCAGAGCAGAGTCGCGGCTTGCCAACGATGATAGTCCGCGGTGCGCCAACGCTGCAGTAAGTCGGCTGCACAGCGTTGCATCCGCGGGACACCGGTGCACCTGCTTCGTAGGTGCGTGCAGCTGGTTGGCGCCCAACTCCCCGTCACATGCCCAGCACAGACACTCCACCCGTGACGGCGCCCACCAGCCACGTCGACCTCGGGATACCACCCCCGAGGTCGTCTTCGCAGAAATCACTTCCCGGCGACCTTCGCACACGTCGCCCGCGTATCCTGGTCGACCGGGTATCCCGTCGCCCCCGGTCGTCCACCCGCGGCCACCGCGGTCCCCGCGGTCCCATGGTCTCCCGCGGCCCTCCCGCGGTCCTCCCGCGGTCCTCCCGCGGTTCCGCGGCCCTCCCGCGGTCCCGCGGTCACCGCGGTCCTCCCGCGGCCCCGTGGTTCTACCGCAGTCCCGCGGCCCTCCCGCGGTCCTCCCGCGGTCCCGTGGTACCCGCGGTCCTCCCGCGGTTCCGCGGCCCTCCCGCGGTCCCGCGGTCCCTGCGGTCCTCCCGCGGCCCTGTGGTTCTCCCGCGGTCCCCGCGGTCTTCCGGCGGTCCCGCGGTTCTCCCGCGGCCCCGCGGTTCTCCCACGGTCCCGCGGTTCTCCCGCGGCCCCGCGGTGCTCCCGCGGCCCCGCGGTTCTCCCGCGGCCCCGCGGTTCTCCCGCGGCCCTCCCGCGGTCCCGCGGTTCTCCCGCGTTCCCGCGGTCCCGCGGTCCTCCCGCGGCCCCGCGGTTGGCTCCGCCCAAGCGAGGACGGGGCCAAACACTACTCCCGTTGACACTGCTGGTCCTGGTGGAGCTGCTGGTGCTGGAGGTACTGGAGGTGCTGCTGGTGCTGGAGGTCGTGGAGCTGCTGGAGCTGCTGGTGCTGGAGGCGCTGGAGCTGCTGGGGCTGGAGGTGCTGGAGGTGCTGGAGGTCCTGGTGGAGCTACTGGTGCTCTTCGCCACCTTCTCAGTCTTCAGCCAGGTGCTACTGGCTTCCCTGTGGCAGGTACTACTCCTCTGTTGCTGTGTCCACCGGCGGACCAGTCACAGCCGCCGCTGCTACCACACTCCCCAATGCCTGCTCCTGCTCCTTACACTGCGGTGTCAGAGTCCCTGACTGAGCGTCGAGAGCCTGAGACTCGTGCTTCCACCCCTGAGCGTCGAGAGCCTGAGTCTAGCTTTGACCTTGAGCCTGAGCCTAGAGCTGCTGTCCGTGCTCGTGTTCCTCGTGTTCGTCGTCAGCGTGCTCCGGCTGTCCCCGGCACTCACGATATGACACTCCGTCCTTCCTCTGTTCCTCAGTGTGTTGTCCTACCGTTACCTCCTACGTCCTCTTTGCCTGACGTTGCTGACCCTCCGTCTGACCTTGCTCGTGCGTCCAGTCCGACTGTTACTCGCCTTCTTGCTACGGTTGTGACGGACCCTACGTTCTCGTCTCCTGCTGCGTCTGCCCTAGTAGCTGAGCTCGTTGACTTTGCTGCTGTGTACCGCCTAGACTACCTTGTGAGTCTTGTCTCTGACCCTGTCCCTGCCTGTCCTCCGTCCGTCGGGGGTGAGGCTGCTCTTGGCTGTACTGCCCTTGGCTGTGACATTCTTGAGGACAGACAGGAGGAGCTGGAGTGCCTTGCTGCCGCTTCACCCCATCACGCGACCATGCTGCTTGCCCCTGAGGGAGACCCAGATGCACTTGACATCCCCACCCCGCGCTCCTACAGGGAGGCGATTTCGGGTGAGTACTCCTCTCAGTGGCAGACAGCCATGGACGCAGAGATGGCTTCGTGGAAGTCCACAAGCACCTACGTCGACGAGGTTCCCCCTCCTAGGGCGAACATCGTCAGTGGCATGTGGATTTTCAAGGTGAAGCGGCCGCCGGGTTCTCCGCCTGCCTTCAAGGCACGCTACGTTGCTCGAGGCTTCAGTCAGCGTGAGGGGGTCGACTTCTTTCAGACCTTCTCCCCCACCCCGAAGATGACTACTCTTCGGGTGTTGCTACACGTTGCAGCTCAGCGTGACTACGAGCTGCACTCCCTCGACTTCTCGACAGCTTTCTTGCAGGGTAGCCTTCACGAGGCCATCTGGTTGCGCCGTCCACAGGGCTTCACTGGGTCGTTTCCTGAGGGTACCCAGTGGAGCCTACGGCGACCAGTGTACGGCTTGCGTCAGGCGCCCCGCGAGTGGCACGACACACTGAGGACGACACTTGCGGCTCTTGGGTTTGCTCCTTCGACTGCTGACCCGGCGCTGTTTCTACGCACCGACACTACACTGCCGCCGTTCTACATCCTCGTATACGTCGACGACTTGGTTTTTGCTACTGCTTACACTGAGGCACTGGCCCTAGTGAAGGCGGAGCTGCAGGAGAGACACACCTGCACTGACCTGGGTGAGCTGCGGAGCTATCTTGGCTTGCAGATCACCCGGGACAGAGCACGGCGCACCATCACCCTGACTCAGTCACACATGGTGCAGTAGGTCCTACAGCGCTTCCGCTTCACGTACTCCTCGCCACAGCCCACTCCTCTGGCTACCGGCCACTCGCTCTCAGCTCCACCTTCGGACGAGTCCGTAGAGCCGAGTGGTCCGTACCCAGAGCTTGTGGGCTGCCTCATGTACCTGATGACGTGCACACGACCTGACCTCGCGTACCCTCTGAGCCTTCTGGCTCGCTACGTGGTACCTGGTAGACATCAAAAGGTGCACTTTGATGCTGCGAAGAGGGTACTGCGTTACTTGTGCAGCACATCGCGCATGGGGCTCGTGCTTGGAGGACGGGGTTCGGTGGTCCTCACAGGACACTCTGACGCTTCTTGGGCCGACGACCAGGCGACTCAGCGTTCGTCACAGGGTTACACCTTCAGTCTTGGCTCTGGTTCTGTCTCGTGGAGGTCCACTCGTTCTTCTTCTGTACTTGGTTCCAGCTGTGAGGCCGAGATCTACGCTGGGGCCATGGCTGTACAGGAGCTCCGCTGGCTGACCTACCTACTGACCGACTTGGGGGAGCGGCCTCGTTCTCCTCCGGTTCTGTACGTCGACAACAAGGCAATGCTTGCCTTGTGTCGCGAGCAGAGACTGGAGCACAGAACGAAGCACATTGCTCTGCGCTACTTCCTTGCGCGTGAGCTGCAGCAGCGTGGTCAGCTGCGCCTTGCTTTCGTGGCCTCTCGGGCCAACACTGCTGATGTCTTCACCAAGGCCCTTGCGGCTGGTGATCATCAGCGTTTCTGCACTGCTCTTGGGCTTGTGCCCACTCTGCCTCACCTGCCGGTTGCTTGACTTGCTCTTGTTGTACACTGCTATATATCTTTATACCTGCATGTTTACTCTTGCTAGGTTGTGTTCTGTGTATTGCCTTGCTATTATAAATCTGCATCTGAACTGGCCTTGTGGCCGCCTGCCTGTGCTCAGATTGTGTGGTGTCCTTGAGATCCACCCTGGGCTTTGCCTTGCTTGTTCCCTTGCTTGACTGGTCTTGTGACCACTGTTAGGTTTGGGTATCCCCTACTTCACCTATGGGGGTGTGTCAAAACATATTGTTATGCTTATTTCACTCTAGGTTGTGTAGGGTTCCTTCCTTAGAGGGTACAACATTCACTCTCGATAGTCCTTGTACCCCCCCCCTTACCTAATCGATCATTCTCACCTAGCTAGTGATTCTAACAGAAATTTGAGAAAACCCTGGATGCGAAACGGGGAGTAGGCATGGGCAGAGAAAAAACATACGAGTAGGTAGAGGTTTGGGATGAGAAGAGCAGGGGAGGAAGAAATGAGTGAGGCAGAGGGAGATGGGACAGAAACGTAGTAGAGGCCGGGAAGGGAGGAGAGGGGCTTTTGCTGAGGGGCAGGGTTCATCAAGGAAGAGGGGCAGAGAGGGAGCAACGGAGCGACGAGCGGGAGCGAAGGGGCCAGCAGAGAGAGAGGGGAGGAGAGGCAAAGAGTGAGGGGCTGAGAGTGAGGGAAGGAGAGGAGAAGATGGGGAAGAGAGGAAATGAGAAGAAAGGAAAAAAGGGGGGTTCAGTGAGAGAAGGGAAGGAAGGGAGGAGGTTGTGCAGGGAAGGGAAGAAGGGGGGTTCAGTGTGTGGGGATAAGGGCGAGAGGAGTGGTGGAGGGAGAGGGAGGGGAGTGTAGAAAAAATTGGGAAGGGAGGAGAAGGGAACAGAGGGCAGGGAAAATTCAGGCACACGACGGGAGGGTAGGGGCAGAGGGAGAAGGGAGGATACGAGACGAGAGGCAAGGGAAGTGAGCGGAGGGCGTGGGAAGGGAATGGGGGACTCAAGGGGGAAGTCGTGAGCGATGGGTGTGCGTGAGCGACAGGTGGAAGAGAATGAGGGGAGAGGCGGAAAAGGGATGGATGGAAGTAGGAAAGACGGGACGGAAGAGGGGGGACAGAGGGACGGGAGATTGGGTAAGGGGAGGGATTGGAGGGTTGGAACTACGAGATGGGAAGGGGAAGCCCCGAGTAGGGAAGGGGGACCCTTCCGCGTACGGAAGGGGGGAAAATGCGTGTGCGAAAGGGGGAAAACAGCGCCATGACCGGCGGCGCGGTAGCAGGAACACTACGCTGGTTACTGGAGCGACGCGAAGAATAGCAAAGTGCTTCGATTCCGTCATATGAAGTTCTAGATTATCTATAGCGAGAGCTTTCGTTTCCAGTCCTGTGCCCTGTTGTGAGTGATGAGGAGCCTGGTAAGACGATCCAGGTTGTGGCTTCGTCATGAGTCTATCGAGTGAGAGATGCGAATGAGGGACGGATGACGAGCGGCGGAGAGGGAAGGGAGGCACGGGAGGGAGGCGCGCTACGGCAGGAGCGAATGCGGGACGGAAGCGAGGCGCGGGACGGAAGGGACGGAGGGTGCTGGGCGACGGCAGGGACGGGGGGGACTGGAGGAAGGACGGAAGGCACGACCGGGACGGGAGTGACGGGCGCGGCGACTAGGACAGACGCGACGAGGGCGACGGGAGGAGCGGGAACGACGAGAGCCACTAGCGAGACGGGACCTACGAGTGCGATTGGAGAAGCGGGTGCGGCGGGTACGACGGATTAGATGGTGTATGAGATATATGTGCACGTACCGCGAGAGATCCGATGAAATGGGCGTTACGTGGGGGACGGTGGAGACCTATACTATGCAAACTGACGGAAGTCTCATTTCAAAATCCTGGGTGCTCGGCGTAGTTATCGGTAGTGGACGATATTGTGGGCTACGGAGCCTACTATTCAACGAGTCTAGAAAGGTAGCTTCAAGCTTCAAGTTTCCGGAAGTGTGAACAGTTGCCCCGGTTTTTGTTTGTTCTGGCGAGTGTCGACAGTGGTTTTGCTGTTGTGCTTTTGGCCAATCATAATACTGCGCTTCAAACACCCCCACAGTGGATCGCGAGAGAGCCCCATACAAAGGCGGGTTACCTTGTTCACTGGCGAATCCATGTTCAAGAATCTTGAACTTGAACACTTGCCATTCTAGACTCGGGCTTTAACCTTAATTCCAACAATTTCCTAGCATCTATTACTATAAAGGACGCACACCCTCGGCTTGTAGTTCATATGAACAACGAAACAACCAGCACAGCCAAGAGAATGACATCAACATGGCTCAAATACTAGAGAACTCGCTCCATTGTCACCAATTTTGTAAGTACTGTACATTAACTTACTGTACATTAACTTACGGTACATTTTTGTAATGAACCGCCCTCAGGCTTTCACAGCATGTTGAACCACACTGGCGACTGAACCAGGTCGTGACCACTTCACACTACGCAGCAGCGCGTGCTGCGTCCATGTGAAGTGTGGGAATATACGTTCTTACAAATCCTCAGCTGGTAGACAATTCGTTCTTACAACTCCTCAGCTGGCAGTGCCAAGCACCACGGAGCTTTAGCCTCATACACAGCATCACAGCTCACGATGCAACAGCACTCGCTTCATTCACTATACTCTGACCCTGCACTCAATGCTCTTCTCTCATGCCCCTCCCCCACTCCCATCCCTTTTCTCTTCCTCTCCTCCCCTCTCTCTCCCTTCTCCTCTCGCTGCCCTCAGCATTTGCAACTCTCTTCTGAGCTCCTGCAGGATCTCCATACCCTCTTCTCGCTCCTTCTGAGCCTCCTTCCGAATCTTCTCCACCTGCATCAAAACCTGCTGCCACACCTCTCGCCCAGCCTCCTCCGAACCATTGCCTAGCGGGTTCGGGAGCAGGCTCGGACTGGCTTCCTGTGGCAACTGGTTGCAATGGGAGCTCTGGACTTGGGTGGTGAGCTGCTGCCTCACTTGGTCGAAGCCACGGGCCACGTCGGCCCGCAGCGCCTCCACGCGCTGCTGCATGGCCAGCAGGTCGCCCTCCTTTGCCGCCTCGCCTCCATTTGCAGCCGTGGCGTCGGCAGGCGGCGCGCTCTCCCCCAGCTCCGACAGCAGCACCGCCCCCAGCGCTGCCACGTCCATGGGGTCCCCCTCCTGCTCGTCGGAGAGAGAGCGCCGCTGCAGGGGCGGATGGGATGGCATGGCATGGGAGAGAAAGGCAACGAGTCTGAGAGGCAATCCCCCATCTCCCACAACAGCACCGTGATGTGTGCGGACAGGTGTGTGGAGTGCTGGTAGTGGCAAGGACAGACTGATTGGAGGCTCAAGGGCGGATGGGATGGTGCTTGCATGTGGAGCATTCAGGACAGATGACTACATAATATGAGCATATCTACCAGGCGTACATGCCATGCGCCATTAAATCCCTTGACATGCATGTTCTGCCCCATCCCATCCATAATGCACCCCCATGTGATGCATGCAGTGCCCCCCATCTCACCATGCGGGCGTGTGCGCGGCGCAGGATGGAAGAGAGCGAGTGGGCGTTGAGCTGCCTCTCCCCCACCACCACCACAGTCTCCTGCTCATCCAGCGTTTTCAGCCGCCAGAAGCTCCGCCGCCTCTGCACTGCCGGCTCCACCATGCTGCCACCCGTGCTGCCAGCATCACCTGCAGCGGTGCTGCCAGCATCACCTGCAGCGGTGGTGGAAGCATGGGCGTCCACCTGAGTGTTGGTGCTGCCGGCTGCCTGGGACTTGGCGACCCCACCATTCGGCAACACCCCCTTCTTGCTCTCAGCCTGGCTTAAGTTAGTCTCATCTGCTCCCACCATCGCTGACACTTGTTGCTGCGCCTCAAAAGGATCCATTTCTCCCTCTCTTCCCACCACCTCCACCCCATTTATCCCCGGATTGCCATCACGAACAGCATCCTCCAGCCTGCCCCCATCAGTATCACGCCTGCTGCCTCTCGTCTCCTTGCCGCACTGAAGGCTCGACGCAAAGCACTGCTGGCCGGACTGTCGAAGGCTCTTCTGCGGAGTGGCGGACAATGGGACACAAATGAAGGTGGCAGTGGGACACGAATGAAGGTGGCAGTGGGAGACACAGACGCCGCTCAGGATGTGTGGGAGCTTTGGTAAGCAAATTGTGGTCTCGATGTGAAGAAGAAAAAAAATATAATCTAGGACATCCTAAGGATTTTTTGCCCGAGTTTGACTTGAACCAGTCATCCTTCATTGCCACATTGTCTCGAAGCAGGATTATTAAGGAGATTAGACCGCACTGGTTTGGTGGGAACCCGCACGAGAGAGTGGGGACCCATGTGGTTGGAAATTGGAAGTCAGAGTTCAAAAAGCGCTCTGGCAGGTCATGCGGATCATCGTGCGGATCATCGTGCAGGTCATGCACATCCCTATTCATGGATGGAAATAGTAAGAGCTAAAAAATCCCTCTCCTACACTCCCCTCTCAATCGCATCCCCATCTTTGCGCACATTCCTGCTCACCTCCCTGCCCGCTCACCTCCCTGCCCGCTCACCTCCCTGCCCGCTCACCTCCCTGCCCGCTCACCTCCCTGCCCGCTCACCTCCCTGCCCGCTCATCTCCCTGCCCGCTCATCTCCCTGCCCGCTCACCTCCCTGCCCGCTCATCTCCCTGCCCGCTCACCTCCCTGCCCGCTCACCTCCCTGCCCGCTCACCTCCCTGCCCGCTCACCTCCCTGCCCGCTCACCTCCCTGCCCGCTCACCTCCCTGCCCGCTCACCTCCCTGCCCGCTCACCTCCATGACCGCATTGGCGGTGTTCTCTGCTCCGAGGCGAATGAGGTGGCGCAGCAGGCGGCTGTACCTTCTGTACGGCGATGCCACGCGGCGGAAGAAGCGCACCACAATCAAGTACATGTCCTGGTAGATCGCCGGTGCTTTCTCCGATGACTCCTGCAAACCGTGCAGGTCGGTCAGCAGACAAGGGCGAGAGGGAGGGAGGGAGGGTGAAAATACAGAGCGCCAAGGAGTCACGACGCACTCCAACCATATGTGATGCTGAGAACAAAACGAAGTGTGAAAGGAGCGGATGATAACTAAGAGGAAGTAAAGAGCGCAAAGGATAAGAAGGTGACAAAGGAGAACCACAACACCATACTGCTGACTCACATTCATCGTCATTGACTTGTTTCACCCTGTTGACCTGTGCTTTCCCGCCATGACCGCTGTTGACCTGCGTTGACCTGCCATGACTGCTGCTGACCTGTGTTGACTCGCCATGACTGCTGCTGACTTGCATTGACTCACCTTGACTGCTGTTGACCGGCATTGACTCACCTTGACTGCTGTTGACCGGCATTGACTCACCTTGACTGCTGTTGACCGGCATTGACTCACCTTGACTGCTGTTGACCGGCATTGACTCACCTTGACTGCTATTGACCTTTGTTGACTGACCTTGACGGCCATGAAGGCATCCACGATGATGGCGATGAGGAAGTTGAAGAGGATGAAGCAGAAGATGATGACGAAGGAGAACCAGAACACCATGGCCGCCGCGTACTGCCACCCCACCATCTGCTGGAACCAGAACACTCCGAACTGCCCCACGATCATGTAGAAGCAGGTCTGCAGGGACAGCCACAGCGTGCTGAACTGCACTTGGGGGAAAAGGGGGCAGTGAAGAAAGCACGCACACACATAGCTGAGCGTTCAGTACCTCCAAAGCAACCCTGCAACGCACAACACTCTGAAGAAATCAATGGCAGACTCGGAACGTAAATTTGAGGTGCAACTAAACATCCTTTCCGAGCATGCTGCTCAGCAAACTGGAGCTAGAAGTGCTGATCTCGCCCCTTCCTCTCTGTGTGGCATGTTTCCGTTCACTACTTGTTGCCTCTTTGCATGCGATCCACTGTGCCCCCTACCCATCCCTCCCGCTTCTGGGTCGAACCTCGAACACTTTAAGCAAAAAAAGCAAACCTGTTCGGTTCGCCTCGAGTGTTCGTATCTGTGCTCATCCCTACCTTGGTCCCAATCCTGGTTCAACCCGAACCAGAGCCAGTTTGGGTCAAAACGGGTTGTGACCCTGCCGGTGCTTGACCCGACCATGATTGGTCCAACGAATCGGTCCTGGTTCGGTTCGCTCTGAGCCTTCACTAATTGGGTGTGACGTTGTTTAGGGAGAACAACAACACGGGAGAGGCACGCAAGTGGCACGCACCTGTGCTAAGGTCATCCCAAACACCAGGTAGCCGTAGGTGGCATATGCGACGAAGACGTGGAGGAGAGAATGAAGAAGTGGAGGAGAGAATGAAGAAGTGGAGGAGAGAATGAAGAAGTGGAGGAGAGAATGAAGAAGTGGAGGAGAGAATGAAGAAGTGGAGGAGAGAATGAAGAAGTGGAGGAGAGAATGAAGATGTGGAGGAGAGAATGAAGAAGTGGAGTAGAGAATGAAGAAGTGGAGGAGAGAATGAAGAAGTGGAGGAGAGAATGAAGAAGTGGAGGAGAGAATGAAGAAGTGGAGGAGAGAATGAAGAAGTGGAGGAGAGAATGAAGAAGTGGAGGAGAGAATGAAGAAGTGGAGGAGAGAATGAAGAAGTGGAGGAGAGAATGAAGAAGTGGAGGAGAGAATGAAGAAGTGGAGGAGAGAATGAAGAAGTGGAGGAGAGAATGAAGAAGTGGAGGAGAGAATGAAGAAGTGGAGGAGAGAATGAAGAAGTGGAGGAGAGAATGAAGAAGTGGAGGAGAGAATGAAGAAGTGGAGGAGAGAATGAAGAAGTGGAGGAGAGAATGAAGAAGTGGAGGAGAGAATGAAGAAGTGGAGGAGAGAATGAAGAAGTGGAGGAGAGAATGAAGAAGTGGAGGAGAGAATGAAGAAGTGGAGGAGAGAATGAAGAAGTGGAGGAGAGAATGAAGAAGTGGAGGAGAGAATGAAGAAGTGGAGGAGAGAATGAAGAAGTGGAGGAGAGAATGAAGAAGTGGAGGAGAGAATGAAGAAGTGGAGGAGAGAATGAAGAAGTGGAGGAGAGAATGAAGAAGTGGAGGAGAGAATGAAGAAGTGGAGGAGAGAATGAAGAAGTGGAGGAGAGAATGAAGAAGTGGAGGAGAGAATGAAGAAGTGGAGGAGAGAATGAAGAAGTGGAGGAGAGAATGAAGAAGTGGAGGAGAGAATGAAGAAGTGGAGGAGAGAATGAAGAAGTGGAGGAGAGAATGAAGAAGTGGAGGAGAGAATGAAGAAGTGGAGGAGAGAATGAAGAAGTGGAGGAGAGAATGAAGAAGTGGAGGAGAGAATGAAGAAGTGGAGGAGAGAATGAAGAAGTGGAGGAGAGAATGAAGAAGTGGAGGAGAGAATGAAGAAGTGGAGGAGAGAATGAAGAAGTGGAGGAGACAGTGCGGCACCTGTTGTCCTGGGAGACAGTGCGGCACCTGTTGTCCTGGGAGACAGTGCGGCACCTGTTGTCCTGGGAGACAGTGCGGCACCTGTTGTCCTGGGAGACAGTGCGGCACCTGTTGTCCTGGGAGACAGTGCGGCACCTGTTGTCCTGGGAGACAGTGCGGCACCTGTTGTCCTGGGAGACAGTGCGGCACCTGTTGTCCTGGGAGACAGTGCGGCACCTGTTGTCCTGGGAGACAGTGCGGCACCTGTTGTCCTGGGAGACAGTGCGGCACCTGTTGTCCTGGGAGACAGTGCGGCACCTGTTGTCCTGGGAGACAGTGCGGCACCTGTTGTCCTGGGAGACAGTGCGGCACCTGTTGTCCTGGGAGACAGTGCGGCACCTGTTGTCCTGGGAGACAGTGCGGCACCTGTTGTCCTGGGAGACAGTGCGGCACCTGTTGTCCTGGGAGACAGTGCGGCACCTGTTGTCCTGGGAGACAGTGCGGCACCTGTTGTCCTGGGAGACAGTGCGGCACCTGTTGTCCTGGGAGACAGTGCGGCACCTGTTGTCCTGGGAGACAGTGCGGCACCTGTTGTCCTGGGAGACAGTGCGGCACCTGTTGTCCTGGGAGACAGTGCGGCACCTGTTGTCCTGGGAGACAGTGCGGCACCTGTTGTCCTGGGAGACAGTGCGGCACCTGTTGTCCTGGGAGACAGTGCGGCACCTGTTGTCCTGGGAGACAGTGCGGCACCTGTTGTCCCGGGAGACAGTGCGGCACCTGTTGTCCTGGGAGACAGTGCGGCACCTGTTGTCCTGGGAGACAGTGCGGCACCGGTTGTCCTGGGAGACAGTGCGGCACCTGTTGTCCTGGGAGACAGTGCGGCACCTGTTGTACTGGGAGACAGTGCGGCACCTGTTGTACTGGGAGACAGTGCGGCACCTGTTGTACTGGGAGACAGTGCGGCACCTGTTGTACTGGGAGACAGTGCGGCACCTGTTGTCCTGGGAGACAGTGCGGCACCTGTTGTCCTGGGAGACAGTGCGGCACCTGTTGTCCTGGGAGACAGTGCGGCACCTGTTGTACTGGGAGACAGTGCGGCACCTGTTGTACTGGGAGACAGTGCGGCACCTGTTGTACTGGGAGACAGTGCGGCACCTGTTGTACTGGGAGACAGTGCGGCACCTGTTGTCCTGGGAGACAGTGCGGCACCTGTTGTACTGGGAGACAGTGCGGCACCTGTTGTACTGGGAGACAGTGCGGCACCTGTTGTACTGGGAGACAGTGCGGCACCTGTTGTACTGGGAGACAGTGCGGCACCTGTTGTACTGGGAGACAGTGCGGCACCTGTTGTACTGGGAGACAGTGCGGCACCTGTTGTACTGGGAGACAGTGCGGCACCTGTTGTACTGGGAGACAGTGCGGCACCTGTTGTACTGGGAGACAGTGCGGCACCTGTTGTACTGGGAGACAGTGCGGCACCTGTTGTACTGGGAGACAGTGCGGCACCTGTTGTACTGGGAGACAGTGCGGCACCTGTTGTACTGGGAGACAGTGCGGCACCTGTTGTACTGGGAGACAGTGCGGCACCTGTTGTACTGGGAGACAGTGCGGCACCTGTTGTAGTGGGAGACAGTGCGGCACCTGTTGTACTGGGAGACAGTGCGGCACCTGTTGTACTGGGAGACAGTGCGGCACCTGTTGTACTGGGAGACAGTGCGGCACCTGTTGTACCGGGAGACAGTGCGGCACCTGTTGTACTGGGAGACAGTGCGGCACCTGTTGTACTGGGAGACAGTGCGCGGCACCAGAGAGGCATTGGTCGCGGGAGTGGCGTCGAGGGGATGCACGTTGGGGCCGAAGCGGCGCAGCCTGAAGGGCACCTTGATGCCCTCTCCCACTCCCGCCGCCTCACAGCACGCTGTGGAGCAAGCGGGAGAAGGTAGAGAGAATTCGGGGGAGAAGGGGGCGGGGGGGCCGTGAAGGGGGAGGAGAATGGGGGAGGATGGGGAAGCACACGTTGCACGGAAGCACACATCACCCCCGGTGGCGCACAGCACAGGTGGAGGGAGCAGAGGGGGAGCAAAGGGGGAGCAGAGGGGGAGCAGAGGGGGAGCAGAGGGGGACGACGGGGAGGAGGGAGAACAGCGGGGGAAGAATAGGGGAGGATGGGGGATCACAATCTGCAGAAAATGGATGGCACACATTGCATGAAAGCACACAATGCATGAAAGCACACAATGCATGAAAGCACACAATGCATGAAAGCACACATTGCATGAAAGCACACATTGCATGAAAGCACACATTGCATGAAAGCACACATTGCATTCAAGCACACATTGCATGAAAGCACACATTGCATGAAAGCACACATTGCATAAAAGCACAGATTGCATGAAAGCACACAATGCATGAAAGCACACATTGCATGAAAGCACACATTGCATGAAAGCACACATTGCATGAAAGCACACATTGCATTAAAGCACACATTGCATGAAAGCACACATTGCATGAAAGCACAGATTGCATAAAAGCACAGATTGCATGAAAGCACACATTGCATGAAAGCACACATTGCATGAAAGCACACATTGCATGAAAGCACACATTGCATGAAAGCACACATTGCATGGAAAGCACAGATTGCATGAAAGCACAGATTGCATGAAAGCACAGATTGCATTAAAGCACAGATTGCATGAAAGCACACATTGCATGAAAGCACACATTGCATGAAAACACACATTGCATGAAAGCACACATTGCATGAAAGCACACATTGCATGAAAACACACGTTGCAAGAAAACACACATTGCATGAAAGCACACATTGCGTGAAAGCACACATTGCATGAAAACACACGTTGCAAGAAAAACACACATTGCATGAAAGCACACATTGCGTGAAAGCACACATTGCATGAAAACACACGTTGCAAGAAAACACACATTGCATGAAAACACACGTTGCATGAAAACACACGTTGCATGGAAACACACATTGCATGGAAACACATATTGCATGGAAACACACATTGCATGGAAACACAAATTGCATGAAAGAACACGTTGCAAGAAAACACACATTGCATGAAAGCACACATTGCATGAAAGCACACATTGCATGAAAGCACACATTGCATGAAAACACACGTTGCAAGAAAACACACATTGCATGAAAGCACACATTGCATGGAAACGGATCCGCACCACCCACCCAGGCTTTAGCGAAAAGGTAGCATGTCTAGAGGCTAGAGGGACGCGCAGATATCTGTGATGAGACTGAATGCATCTTCCAGCTTACCGCCATCAACCCCCCGTGTTTGCAACACCGAGCATTCACACCACTGCACATCGGCTCCAGCGCTTCCACTGCTGCTGCCGCCAGCCCCAGCAGCGTCGGCAGTGGCGCAGGCACAGTCGCCCCCATCGAAGTCACAGGTAGCCACGTTGCATGCGGGGTCGCAGCGGCCATTGGCCAGCATGGCCAGCGCACACGCGGGCGCACAGCGCGTGGCCAGAAGCTGCTCGTACGGCCGCAGAGACGTGGCTGGTGGCAGCTCTGCTGGGGGGCAGGCGGGTGGGCAGGGCGAGGGCAGTGCATGGAGACAGGTGAGGATGGGTGAGAGAGTGCCACGTTGCAGGGATGGTTGCAATGAGCATCGCAGAGCAGAGGGCGAGATGGCAGAGGGCGAGATGGCAGAGGGCGAGATGGCAGAGGGCGAGATGGCAGAGGGCGAGATGGCAGAGGGCGAGATGGCAGAGGGCGAGATGGCAGAGGGCGAGATGGCAGAGGGCGAGATGGCAGAGGGCGAGATGGCAGAGGGCGAGATGGCAGAGGGCGAGATGGCAGAGGGCGAGATGGCAGAGGGCGAGATGGCAGAGGGCGAGATGGCAGAGGGCGAGATGGCAGAGGGCGAGATGGCAGAGCGCATGCAGAGGGAGGGGAGAGGGACAGTGAGGTGAGGCAGCTTGAAGGACGGATGGCACGTGCATGCATGCATGCATGCATGTGCGAGTGATTGTCACGTGGCAGTGCCACTGGTGCCTGGAATGGCCGCGCATGGGTTGGGGGTGGCACATGGTGGGGGGTGGCACATGGTGGGGGGTGGCACATGGGTGGGAAGGGATGGGCGCACCTGGCGTGGGGGTGGCGCGGAGGAGAGTGGAGGCGAGCGACTGCGGCGAGTCCTTGACGGTCATGTCCCGCGCCGTGCCAAACACCTTGGTGTACGTGAAATGCGCCCCTGCCTTGTCGCCAGGCGACCCTGTGGGCAGGAGTGTGTGGGAGCACGAGGGGGAAGCGGAGGAATCGCTGCCAATGGAAGCATTGATGTGTTGCCAGGAGAGCAGCCGGCCAGGAGCATGAGGAGCATGTGGAGCATGAGGAGAGTGTGGAGCATGAGGAGCATGTGGAGCATGAAGAGAGTGTGGAGCATGAGGAGAGTGTGGAGCATGAGGAGCATGAGGAGGAATCGGTGCCAAGGGAAGCGCTGATGTGTCGTCAGGAGAGCAGCCGGCTAAGAAGGGGCGTGCGGAATGAAGTAGGGAGCACGAGGGTGCAGGCAGTAGAGAGCACAGGGACACATGTATGCGGTATGGGCATGAAGGGTACGTGATGTGATGGTATGTGAGGGAAGGATGATAACAGCGTGGAAGGGGGCGACGGTGCACTTACCTCTGCCCAGGCTTACCTCTACTGTACCCAGGTTGGAAATGAAAGCTTACCTCTTTGAGGTCGAGCATGCCTGTCACACATGCCTCTTACCACTCCATAGGTGCCACGTCATCGCTACAATGTACTCACGCAGCACGCATGGCGCAGGCTCATCCGTCGCATCTCCAGGCCCAATGTTGTCCCATGCACACGTGGCAAGCCGTGATAGCCCGAGCCTCCCTGCTCCAAACCCAAGAAACGGCTCTGAGCTCACCGGCCCTGCAGTAAAAGAGTGCAGGAGGGAGCAGTGAAGGAGTGCAGGAGGGAGCAGTGAAGGAGTGCAGGAGGGAGCAGTGAAGGAGTGCAGGAGGGAGCAGTGAAGGAGTGCAGGAGGGAGCAGTGAAGGAGTGCAGGAGGGAGCAGTGAAGGAGTGCAGGAGGGAGCAGTGAAGGAGTGCAGGAGGGAGCAGTGAAGGAGTGCAGGAGGGAGCAGTGAAGGAGTGCAGGAGGGAGCAGCGAAGGAGTGCAGGAGGGAGCAGTGAAGGAGTGCAGGAGGGAGCAGTGAAGGAGTGCAGGAGGGAGCAGTGAAGGAGTGCAGGAGGGAGCAGTGAAGGAGTGCAGGAGGGAGCAGTGAAGGAGTGCAGGAGGGAGCAGTGAAGGAGTGCAGGAGGGAGCAGTGAAGGAGTGCAGGAGGGAGCGGTGAAGGAGTGCAGGAGGGAGAAGCAAGAGAATTCAGGGGGGAAACAAAAAGATGGGAACGATGAGGAACAGCTGAGCCTCCCATGGTTTCGCTGCAGCAATCAGGTGCCTCATGGCAGGCTGGTGCCTCATGGCAGGCTGGTGCCTCATGGCATGCTGGTGCCTCATGGCATGCTGGTGCCTCATGGCATGCTGGTGCCTCATGGCATGCTGGTGCCTCATGGCAGGCTGGTGCCTCGTGGCATGCTGGTGCCTCATAGCATGCTGGTGCTCTCACACAAGTCGATGGGCATGAGCATAAAGTAACGACTGACTGGGAAACCACGACCCAAGTAACGCTATCGTTTTCACATGGCTGGCTTGTCACGAGCTAGGGAGGCTTGTGGCTCGTTCGTAACCTTGCCACTGTTGGAAGCCCACATAGACGCGCATTCCCATCAAAGAGCCAATGAGATATGATTCCGGAATTCGACTTCAGCAATTCAGCGATTCACATAGCGCCACGACCGTGGCAGGGTGTGAAGGCAAGGCAGGTCGGGTGGGCTCATCAAGCATGACATCCACGAGCCACCCGCCGCAGGTTGCCACTCGGCTCATGTGGCCCACTCGTGCTCACCTCATTACTACCCCTCACTCGCTACAGGCGAACCTCTGAGCTCGCTACAGGCACACCTCTGAGCTCGCTACAAGCGCACCTCTGAGCTCGCTACAGGCGCACCTCTGAGCTCGCTACACGGGCACCTCTGAGCTCGCTACAGGCGCACCTCTGAGCTCGCTACAGGCGCACATCTGAGCTCGCTACAGGCGCACCTCTGAGCTCGCTACAGGCGCACCTCTGAGCTCATGGTAATTGTCATCATTCCACACCCACGTGACCCTCTGGCCGTCCGCAATGGCCCGGCGGGCGAAGGAGGTTGAGTCCCACAGCACTGTGAAGTCGGCTGTGGGGGGGAAGGGGGGAGAGGGGAGGAAAGAGAGAGGGAGGTTCAGGGATGGAGGGGAGGAGGGAAGATAAAAGGGTGTGGGAATGGACCGAAGTGAAGTGAGTGGATGTTTGAGCCAGTGGAGAGTGACGATACAGAGAGGGCCAAACGAGAGGAGAGGAGAGCAGCGCGAGAAGAATGGGCATGCATTAGCATGAGAGAAACCGTTCTGAGAGGCAGAGCATGGACAGAAGTGGAGAACAAGAAGCAGGAAAAGGTTGTCCACTGGCAGCGGAGCACGAGAGCTGGGAGTAGCAGTGAACGGGGTGAGTGAGAACGCAAAGGGCACCTTGGGGGCAGGAAGAAGTGTCAGAGGAGACGACTGCATCATCATAGGCATGCAGCAGGCGGGTGGCAGCCTTGACGGCATCATCTGGCATCTTCTGCACGACTGACTGCAGTGCCAAGATGAGGATTTGGATGAAGAGAGACTGTTGGGCGGCAGAGAAGCGCCGAGATGGACTGTGCAGGCGGTGCAGGGGTGGGATGAGCAGGGGTTCAGGGGATTGGGGACAATGACAACAAAACATGAAGGTGAGTGGCAGGAGGCGAGGGAGAATCCGGTAGAGAACAGGGAGAGTGGGCGTGAGAGGTTAGAAAAGCAAACTGGGTGGCCTTCTAAGCTGGAGAAGAAGTGAGATCAGGTTTAGGATTTAGCCTAGAGGGCGCAAAGATGAGCCTTCTCAGTCCCCCAGTCAGCCCCCCTCTCAGCCCCCCTGCCAGCGCCCAGTCATCCCCCTCCCAACCCTTCTCCCAGACCCCTCGCAGCCCCCCCTGTGAGCCCCGTACGTGCGGTGAGTCGCTCGAATGTATTCCACGAGCTCTGCTTGATCCTTCAACTGCCACCCAGAGAAAGGTTGGGTGAAGTTGCAGAGGGGGTGGTAGGCCACAGGGCCGCCAAAGAGTGTGCAGAGGAAGGCAACGAGGCGACTGCGAGAGGCAAGGGAGAGGCTCTTGGCCGGCGAAGACGATAGAGACAACCCGCCTCTGCCGATGCTGCTGCTGCTGCTGCTGCTGGTATCATTGCCAGCGCTGCTGCTGGCATTGGTGGCGCCACCGGTCGGCCCGGCCAGGCAGTTCTCCTTCACTGCGGTGTACAGCGCTCGCGCCACTGCCACCTGGCACGCCCTGATTCGCTCGCCTTCGGAAGTCCCGAGGCTCTCCCAAACGAGCAGCTGGTCTCGCTTGATTGACGCAGCGGCAGACGCTGCAGGGCAGGGCGGGTGCAGGGAAGGGCGGGTGCAAGGAACCAGCACAATCTGGGACCAGCACAACGTGGGACCAGCACAACGTGGGACCAGCACAACGTGGGACCAGCACAACGTGGGACCAGCACAACGTGGGACCAGCACAACGTGGGACCAGCACAACGTGGGACCAGCACAACGTGGGACCAGCACAACGTGGGACCAGCACAACGTGGGACCAGCACAACGTGGGACCAGCACAACGTGGGACCAGCACAACGTGGGACCAGCACAACGTGGGACCAGCACAACGTGGGACCAGCACAACGTGGGACCAGCACAACGTGGGACCAGCACAACGTGGGATCAGCACAACGTGGGACCAGCACAACGTGGGACCAGCACAACGTGGGACCAGCACAACGTGGGACCAGCACAACGTGGGACCAGCACAACGTGGGACCAGCACAACGTGGGACCAGCACAACGTGGGACCAGCACAACGTGGGACCAGCACAACGTGGGACCAGCACAACGTGGGACCAGCACAACGTGGGACCAGCACAACATGGGTCGCGAGGCACAGCCGTCTCATCGACTTGTGTGAGAGCACCAGCATGCTATGAGGCACCAGCATGCCACGAGGCACCAGCCTGCCATGAGGCACCAGCATGCCATGAGGCACCAGCATGCCATGAGGCACCAGCATGCCATGAGGCACCAGCCTGCCATGAGGCACCAGCCTGCCATGAGGCACCAGCATGCCATGAGGCACCAGCACGCCATGAGGCACCAGCATGCCATGAGGCACCAGCATGCCATGAGGCACCAGCCTGCCATGAGGCACCATCCTGCCATGAGGCACCAGTAGGGATGAGCAGAGGGCGAACTCGAACATGTTCGAGTTCGCCCCCTATCGAACATCGACTTATACTGAACCGAACACTGTTCGGTTCGGCGAACTATTTGGGCGAAAACAGGTGTTCGCCGTTCGCCCTAGGGGGCGAACGAATTGTTGCAGCAGGCGAACTCGAACATGTTCGAGCTCGCCAAAGGGAAAATTCGATATAGTCACAGTGGTCATATTGTGAAACGCCGTCGCTACAACTTGACACCTTGACCGCTTGGTGCTTGATCCCTATGCTTCTCAACACTATTGTTCACACAAACACCCTACACTACGAACTACCCTAACCTCAATGTCCGTGTAGGTGAATGATGTAAGGTGTGCGATGACTATTAAAACCGCAAGGCTTGGGCGGTTGTGTGAGAGAGGGCTAAGCGCTAAAGGCGTTTTGAGTTTGAGCTCACGAAATGAGCTCAAACTCAAAACGGCCGCGACCTAAAATTGGTCGCGGCCAATTTTGACGCGAACACTTTTGTGTTCGCGGGGCACCCAATTCAAACATGAACGCGTTCGTGTTCGAATTCCCTTAGCCAAAAATCAATGGCGAACGGCGAACATGTTCGGCCGAACACCGAACATGTTCTTCTCGAACGATTTAGGCAAAAAAAAAAATGCCTGTTCGGGATTTTGCTCATCCCTAACGAGAGTGAACAAGGCCAGAGAAGAAGTCAATCAGCTTGAAATATAGCCTTGGTGGAGTTGATGGGAAGGAAGAGGAAGCGCAAGGAGGAGTGCAAGGGCAGCAGTGGAGGAAAGGGTGAGAGGGAATGGAAAGAAGGGAGAGAAGAAGGAAAAGAAGTGAAGCCTCGGGTGGGGAAGCAGCAGGCACCTGGTGGCGATGGAGGCGGACTGTGAGGGCCCTGTAGTGACCAGATGCGGGTGCTGGTGGTGTTGGGAGTGGTGGGAGTGGCGGAGACGTGTGCCTCCCCCACGGCATGCTGCTGCCTTGCTGCTTCAACTGCCTCATGCTGCTGCGCCCTCGTCTCCTGCAGCTGCTGCCTCACCTGCTGGTGGTGCTGCACGTGGCAGCGGCGAGCAGAGGAACGGGCACAGTGGCCAGGAGGGCAGCAGTGGAGTGCATGGGCAGCAGTGGAGTGCATGGGCAGCAGTGGAGTGCATGGGCAGCAGTGGAGTGCATGGGCAGCAGTGGAGTGCAAGGGCAGCGGTGGAGACAATAGAGATGTTTTTGAAACAGACAAGGCAGAAAGAATGCAGCAAGGAAATATGAACAGGTCCTAAACGAGTGTTCCATTCCAAGAGAACCACTGAGAGGCAGGTGTGTGATGCCATGCCAGTGCTGTCGAGACAGTGCAGACAGCGCAGTGCAGACAGCGCAGACAGGGCTGCAGACAGTGCAGTGCACGGACCTGGACGACAGATGACATGACGGTTTGCTGATTTGCGTTATCGGGAATCGACGCAGAAAGGAGAAGACGGGAAGAAGATGGGCCTGCTTCTTCTGCTGCTGCTGCTGTTGCTGTGGTTGCCTGATCAGGAACAGCAGTTTCTGAGAGGATGTCTGCACATGAGGCAATGGTAGAGGTGACACAGCGTGACTCCTCATGGGGCTGCTTTATAGAATAGCAAGAAGGGGACGTATGCTGACGTCCTTAGGAGAGTCTATCAAGGGCGGAAAGGTGCAAAGTAACGGTGGCACACCAGTTCATGGCAGACGGAAACACTACGGCTAGAGAGAAAGATGTGGAAGGGCGTGAAACAGCGAAATGTGGGGTCAGGACGGTGGAGAGGACAGGAGGGTTGGGGGCACAGGAGGATTGGGGGGAGGGCAGGAGGGTGGGGGGGAGGGGCAGGAGGGTGGGGGGGAGGGGCAGGAGGGTGGAGGAGAGGGCAGGAGGGTGGGGAGGGCAGGAGGGTGGGGAGGGCAGGAGGGCGCACCAGTGCATGAGGGCGTCTGGACGAAGGGCTCGAAGAGAGTGAATGCCTGCCGGACGGGGGAAGAGAGGGGAAGAGAGGGAAGAGAGGGAGGATACAGAGAGGCGGATCAAGAAAGAGGACAGCAGGGGAACAGCCAAGTCGGTATGCTGCAAGGTCAATTGATTCATGAAGTTGGGTAGGATGTGGTATATGCGATCAGGACAGGGAACATCGTTTGGTGATGGTAGACATGAGCACAAGGGCGAACACCTGTTCGGTTCGCCTCGAACGTGTTCGAGGCGAACCGAACAGGTTTGTTTTTTTTGCTTAAATTGTTCGCCGAACAGTGTTCGATGTTCGCCCGAACACGTTCGTGTTCGGGCCGCTGCTGCAATTTGCCCCGCGATGAACACGAACGTGTTCGAGGTTCGCCCGAACACGCCTTCACAGGCGAACGGCGAACACGAGTTTTTGCTTAAAGTGTTCGCCGAACCGAACAGTGTTCGGTTCGGCAAACGGATGTGTTCGTCTAGGGGCGAACACGAACATGTTCGTGTTCGCCCCTTGCTCATCCCTAGGTGATGGCAATGCTTCACCCGTAGCCAGACAGTGGCAAAAGCAGTGTTCACACAAGACTGCACTGATGAAAAAGCCACAGTGAACTGATTGTTAGATTTTCAGAGAAATCTCAAAACAGACTTGTCTATCTGGGAAGTGATGAGACATGGCACTGAACGGATAGTTGGGTTAGAATGATGGAGGTGTAGTGAGTTGGAAAGAAAGGAAGAACCTGGGGGCAGGAGACGTTATCAGGTGGGAGGAAGGAGGTGCGGGGCAGCATGGCGTTGCAGGCCTGGAAGCAGCTGCCCAGAGCCAAGGAGGCCGCCCGCATCGGCAGAGAGGCAGCACTGCTGCTGCTGCTAGCACTGCCGCTGCTGTTGGTGCATAGCTGTGGGAGGCAGAGAGACCAAACCGCGCAAGTCTGGGAGAAAGAGGAGAGGAGACGGGAGGGGATGAGATGGAGGCAGAGCAGAGAGAGGATGAGGTGAAAGGAGGTGGCGTCAGACCAAAGTGTGGGTGAAGCATGCAAGGAAGGACACCACCTCACAGCCTGCCGTACAACTCTGCACTGCTGCCCATTTCTCCCCCCATTTACCCACACGACACTAAGAAGATCCAGCATTGCCACCACAGTATACTGTATCCCTCTGCATCACACTGCACGCCCTCCTTCCCACTGCGCCAGCCTGCCTATAACTACTCTCCGTCATACCTGTCTGCACCGCTGCAGACCACTCTCGCCATCTGCCACGCAGCCATCGATGAGCGCCAGCAGCACGTTAGCGCCTGTGCCGTTGGACGGGCGCACCCTCCCCTTCACGCCCCCCGAAGGAGACGGCGCTGCAGAGGGCGAGGAGGCAGGGGCGCCGGCGCTAGAGGGGGGAGGCGCAGGAGTGGGTGAGGAGGGCGGTGCTGCTGATGCTGCTGCTGCCGCAGCTGGGTCAAGGGAGGCTGAAGGCAGCAGAGGTCCGGCCTGGCTGGTGGTGGGCTGTGACTCGTACACGTACACGCTCACCCCGCCGTCTGGTGCAGTGAGTGAGACGAACCAGTCGTTGTCTGGCAGCTGCAGCGTGAGCGTGTGCCAGCCTGCCACTTCCGTGAATACCTGAGCACCCTCGAACCTGGTGTGTGGGGAGGGCGTGTGTGGGTAAGGAGAAGGTAGGATGCTATTGTGGGATTTGAAAGGTCGAATCAAAACCCTCCATTTTCAAGCATACACCACACCCAACATCTCACACAAACTGAGTCGCTGACATGGGCGGCTCACCAGCAGACGTCGCGGATGGCGGTGGAGCAGAGGTTCCAGGAGGAGGCGGCCATGGCGTCCGTGGATGCAAAGCGCCAGCGTCACCGCCGTCACGTTGCTGGCCAACCCGCAGTCCAGGGCGCACCCGAAGCGACCCACCGCTGGCACCTCCATGGGGGGCGTGCACGTGCCGTCGCCACACTGCGGGTCCGTCCATACGGCCTTTAAGGGAGGGAGTGGAGAAATGCGGTGGAAGCAGAGCAGGGACGCCTTTAAGCCTTCCAGGTCGATCTGCACTTGGCGCAGCGGATTGACCCGCCTGCCTGCCTGTGGTGAAGCTTTGAAGAACTCAACAGAATGAACCCGTGAAGAATCGAATGGTTGATGCACCACCTGAATGATGCTGTCGTTGGAATCACCTGAATGATGCTGTCGTTGGAATCAACTGAATGATGCTGTCATTGCAATCACCTGAATGATGCTGTCGTTGAGCCAGGTGTAGAAAGCGCTGCTGCTGGCAAAGGAGTAGCTCGAGTCCTTGGAGTAGTCCTGCCGCCCTCACAGCACGCACACCATGCACGCCCACACTCGCCCAATCACACACACTCACACACACACACACACACACTCACACACACACACACTCACTCACACACACACACACACTCACTCACACACACACACACACACATACACACACACACGTGCACACGCGTGCGCGCAGAGAATCATGAGAGCCAACGGTTGGAGGACGGCGGCTGCGATTGGAAGGGAGAAGCGCGTGGTGGCAAGGGAGAGGAGAGGCACGTGGTGGGCTGTGCCAGAGTAGCAAGTGAAGTCACATGGTGGGCGCATGATAGGGCAGCGTGGCAGGCAGAGGAGAGGCGGCCGATGGCATACCGGAGGCAGCAGGACGGAGTGAGCGGTGGCCACCTGGTAGCTCTGGAAGGACTGCGCCTGGTGGGGGACGCGTGACACACAGAGACAAGCAGAGCGAGCATGCACAATGCGGGAAACCACGAGAGGTCTTGAGTCGTGACTCGACATGAGCGCCAGGGCCAGGGCCAGCAGGGCCAGGGCCAGGGTCAGCTGACCTGCTCACACGCCATGCCCGGCCGGGCCGGCCCGCGTCAGTTTAACTTGATGGCACATCCGCGCAGACATGGTGCTGTGTCAGATCCGCACGTGTTTGGTTGGCATTCACAATTAGATTGGGATGGGCTCGGGTGGCCTGACCGGGGCCAGCCGTTCTCACTGGTAGTTCAAAAATATCACTGCTGAAGTGTGTGTAACAGGCAGGCTTGCTTCTTTCTGTTTGCAGGCTTAGCGGCAGGGAGAGCATGCGATAGGGAGAGGATGCGAGAGGAACAAGGATCCATGCAAGCACAAGAAATGGCGAGCATGGGCAGGCAAGGAAGAGAGCATGAGGAGAAGCGGACCTGAAGGCAGAGCATGAGGAGCACCTGAAGGCAGAGCATGAGGAGGCACCTGAAGGCAGAGCATGAGGAGGCACCTGAAGGCAGAGCATGAGGAGGTAGAGGGCGGTGAAGAGCGCGAAAACGACGAGGCTCTTGTAGTTGTGCAGCTGCGCCTGCGCCTCCACCACGCGCTCGAATACCGCTGCCCGCCCCCGCGCGCGCACCCGTGATGGGGAAGGGAGGGGTTGGAAGGACGGGAGAAGAAGCAACGCACAGCAGGAGAAGTGGGGAGGGAGAGAGGGAGGGGAGGGAGAGGGGGTGGTGGGGGTGGGGTGGGGGGGGGGGGGGGGGGGGGGGGGGAGGGGGGGAGGGGAGAACGCTTTCTTGTGGCTGTGCGTTGCGCGTACCACCCCAAACTCGGTCCTTGTAGTAGAGGCAGCCTGCCACGAACACATAAAACGCCAGGTTGGTGTCAGGAAATTTGGCGCGCAAATAAAGGTGCGTGATTGGGCAATGTCCCGAAAATGTCACTTCAATGCCACCAAATTCGAGTCGCGCGCGCCTCGGGCAAAATGTTGGTGGCATGCGGTTTTCCCGCATGCCACCAACACTGCCATCTACAGTGGCCCTGCCACCAGCCAGGGATACGCCCTAAGTATCCAAATGGAGAACGAACTACAGCTCCTTTCTGAGGGCGTTTCCCAACTTCGTGTCACCCTCACTTCGTGTCATACAAAAAATACATCCCGAGCCAAGTGTTTTCCGAATCGACTTCGGGTCATCAGACGCGGCGCATTTGGGAGGTCCCACATGTCCGGATGACACAAGGACCGGATGATACGAGGACAGGAATCAGCCCTGGTCACACAATGAGACAACACATTGAACCACAGATCCTGCTGCACTTCTGGACTTCCCTCCAGGGCTTGAACAAGATAGACCCACGTCGCCGCATTCCCTCAAGCTTGGGCGGAGTTGACCATTTGCCAGAAATATGGTTTGGCCGAGCGAGTCTTTGAATTGAGATGTTTCGTTGTCAAGCCGCAGGGAGTCGAACTTTTGTTTAGAATGAGACATGATTAATTGCACACCTCGAATCTTCGAGTCGTAAGTAGATGGTTTGGCTGTAGAGGACTCAAAAACAGAGGTTGTTTTACAGTAAGCACTGGCAGGTCCAAATCTCACAGAACTTGAACCCGTGGATTTTTATTGCAGCTGACAGCAACAAAAGTATGGAATTTCGACTACCCTCCGTTTCAGATGAATCAAGGGAAGGTACCCCAATGAATAGAGTGTGGCATTCCGCTGTAGATGTCCACGCACGGGCCTGTACAAAGCACAACTGAACCGTTGACCTTTTGGGAGGTTTCCACATGTACAGTTCGTGTACCGTACAGTTTGCTAAACAACATACTGTACACAGGCATATACACCTGATGCCCGTTTGAGTCCCCCTACTTGGGTTGTGGTCTGGGCTTATAAACGTTTTGGGCATTTCGCCCAGTTCGTTCCATTTCGCCAGGGTGTTGAGGTGCTTCTAAAAAACACAGGTTGTAACTCATTTGTTTTTTCCAAAACCGTTCTGGTGGGCCTGTGTTGTTGTTAGTTCAGGGTTTCGGATTTATGCTTGTTTCTGGCAAAGAAACAAGAACAAACCGGGTCAGCCTGGTTTGTTTTGCGCCTAAGATTCATACTTTGGCGTTTTCTCGCCCAAAAGCAAGTTGATCTGCGTGCCTAGAACCTGGGTGCAACTGACTGGGAAAAAAAAACTCGGGTGCAGAGTTTCTGAAATGGGCAAGGCAAATTCGCGCGTTGTGGTTGGGCATCATGTGTATGTTGGACTGCACTCCTGACCTCCCGCTCCAACACAATGATGCCTACCCACTGCCACTCACCGCACGTCGCTTCTCCCGCATTTCTTTTCCCATGTGAATCTGCGTTGTACAGCCCTTCTAGGCTATTGCTCTATAAATAGACGATGTGGCTATAAACTGTTGCGTTAATATTATCTCCCCCCCTCACCCCTGCCAAACAAGACAATGTCATGAAGCCTGGTGGGTTGGATGGAAAATATTAGTAGCTGAATATAGTTTTTCTTGGGCTGGTTGAGCATAACAATAAATGGCCAATATATCGAACAAGTCTTAGTAATGTGAGCAATTGAAATGTTTGTTCTAGCACTATACATATAGAATTTGATACATTATTAATAAACATTTTACTTACAACAAATATTATGAATCTAGTGTGTGTGATTGGTTTTTAAATTCTACTTGTAAATAATGTCCACTGCCTTCTTTCTATTTTATCTCAACCGGAAAAATTGGCTTGCTTTATATTCATGGTGGTTAAATACAGTCCAGAATACTTGTATTATACTATTATTATTTAGTTTATATTTGAAATATATTTCAATTAACATCTCAACTATGACAATTAAGCTACACTTAGCAGAGCACTTTTTTTAAGATTGAATCTTATCATGGGGAGCATGAAATCAATCTAGCTAATAAATGTGAACGGATGCATTTGCCTATCTAAGATTGATTTTTACTAGCATGCATGTCAGTCTTAGTCACATGCGCCTACCAGCAAGGCAAACTCAGAATCGGACTCGTGCAACGAAAACATAACATAAGTAGTTGGATCTAGCTCGGATGACGACTTCGGTTTCAAGCTTGTATCTGCTTGGGAGTCCTAATTCGGACATGGTATCAGAGCAGGTTCCCTAGTGGGAACGTTTTTTTTTAAGGCCCCCCACGATAAAATATTTTTTTTCTGCCCTGCCCGAAGCGCGCCTCACGCCTGCCTCACCAGCGCCGTCGCGCGCCCCGCCATACTGCCGCCCGTAGTGGCCCTGCCCTTTCGCGGCCCGTCGCGGTCCTGACCTAGCCGCCCGTCGCGGCCCTGCCCTGTCGCCGCCCTTCGCGGCCTGCCCTAGCCGCTCGTTGCGGCCTGACCAAGCCGCCCGTCGCGGCCCTGCCCTGCCGCCCATCGACGCGACCCTGACCTCGCCGCCAATCGCGGCCGTGCCCTGCCGCCACCTATCGCGGCCCTGCCCTGCTGCCGCCCCGTCGCGGCCCTGCCCTGTCGCCGCCTCGTCGCGGCCCTGCCCTACAGCCGCCCCGTTGCGGCCCTGACCTAACCGCCCGTCGCGCCCTGCCCTGCACCCGCCCCTAGTAAGCGCCCGCCCTGCTAAGCGCGCCGTCGCGCCCGCTGCTTGCCGCCGCCGCGCCCGCTACCTATCGCGCTGCCACGCGCACGCCATGCCCTGCCCCGTTAGGCCCGCCGCGGGCATGCCCTTCGCGCCGCCCCGCCTGCTCGTTACGCCCACTGCCGCGCCCTCACGTTAGGCCCGCCGCGGGCCCTGCCTTCGCGCCCCCGCGCCTACCCGTTTGGCCCGTCATGGGCCTGTCCGCTACGCCCGCCGCGGGCCCGCCCCTTGCGCCCGTCGTGCCTGCGTTTTGTGCCCACCGCGGGCCTGCACTCTTGCAAGCGCCCTGCCCTGCGCGCACTGGCGCCCTGCCCAGCCCTGCCCGAGCCGCCTCTGCAGCACCCTGTGCGCCCTGCTAAACCCTAAAATCAATAAATTAAATAAATTAAATTATATTAAAAAAAAAAACTCTTGGTGCTTCTGCCTTAGGAGCTACTGCCTGCTACTGGCCGTGCGCCACCCTGCTCTGGTCGCACGCCGCCCTGCTCTGACCGTGCACCGCCCCGACCTACCCTAGTGCCTCCTCGCCGCCCTTTCTTCCCTACGTACTGCCCTGCTGCTCGCATGACTTCTCTTCACGGCAGCGGTGGGAGTGGTGGCAACGGTGGCGGTTGTAGTGGGAGTGGTGGCGGCCGTCGTAGCGGTCGCTGTGGAGCTATTCGGTGGGGAGTTTCTGGCGGTGGCCAGATGCAGCTGCAGCGGCGTCCGCGTGAGACACTTACACCCCAGCAGCTTTGTGAGTGGTTTGCTTAGCGTTGGGCGTCTCAGCGTAGTGGCCGTGGTGGCAGTCGAGGTGCAGCTACTCAGTTGGGGGGTTCTAACGGTGGCCAGATGCAGCTGCAGCGGCGTCCGCGTGAGACCCTTACACCCCAGCAGCTTCGTGAGTGGTTTGCTCAGCGTTGGGCGTCTCAGCGTAGTGGCCGTAGTGGCAGTCGCGGTGCACCTACTCAGTTGGGAGTTTCTGGAGGTGGCCCGGTGCAGCTGCAGCGGCGTCCACGTGAGACCATTACGCCCCAGCAGCTTCGTGAGTGGTTTGCTCAGCGTTGGGCGTCTCAGAGACGTGCTGAGGGTGAATGTTACCTGTGTGTGCTGCCCGACCCAGGTATAGAGGCTGCTGCTCTAGGTGCTATTGAGTCTGCTCTCTCAGGTACTGGTGAGTCTGCTCTCTCAGGTACTGCACCTGCTGAGGCCTTGCACACTTTCACTCTTGACTCTGGTGCTTCCCGCTCTTTCTTTCGCGACTGCACCACACTCACGCCGCTCAGTCGGCCGGTTGCTGTCTCCCTGGCAGACCCCTCTGGGGGCCAGTCCTTGCGCACTCCTCTACGGTTCTACTGTGTCCGGCGGTCCCGTCTGGCTCACTGTCTGGTCTTCTCCTCCCCTCGTTCTCTACGAACTTGGTGAGTGGAGCTGAC